TGAAGGCTTTTGAAGTCCGTTGTAGGTACACGGAAGCATAGAATCTCGAGATACCATTTTGGAGTCTACGAGATCCATTGTTTCTAACTAATGGTTACGCTTTAATCTCCGGAGAGACGGTGCGGGGAGAGAGCGATGGGATCACTTTTGCTAGTAACTGTCATTTTTATGAAGAAACGGATAATACAATTTGCGACCTGTCATTCAGTATGAACAACTATCTTGATTTAAAGCTAAAAGCGTCACAACAACCGTATTTCGGTTCAAGCACGATGAATTGACTACATTCTGTCCCTGGATATTTGGATGCATTTGAACACAACTGAGACCATCTCAACGAAAACGTATCTGGACTGCCTCCCATGGATCTTCTCAATTCCTTTTATAACGCAGTCTACATGAACTCTCTTTGTAATTAACCCTGACACTGTTTTCATTATTCCCTTTTTTTCTTCTACTCTTTTATTCAAATATGTGACTAAAGAAGGACGGCAACCACATCCACCGCTTGAAATTATATGAGTATTGGTTTTATAAACTGAAACTGACACTGAAATCGTACTATACATGAATATCTATCGTTTCTTGTCTTCAAAACGTAAGAAGAATCTTTTCGGACATCGAGGCTCATAAATCGGATTGAAACAGTGACACTCTTCTAGCAAATACCATACCGTCCTTTAGGCTTTAGGCTTCAATGGAATGTATGGAGATGACCAGACTAGGGGTTAGATGAGAGAATTGAAGGATTTTGTTTGTTCCAATGATGGATTTTCTCGTATGAAGGGCAAACGAGTGGTGAACTGAAAAACAGGGAAACACAGTTCACTGTTATCAGCTTGGCTATTCCGAGGATAGGGCTCGGGAGCTCACAGATAGAATGTAAATATACTATTCACTCGAACACCGACCAGCGGATTAAACTATTTCAATTTTGTCTATTCACCTAATGCTACGTCTGTTATCCGAATCTCACCGCGCTGGTGTGCTTATTCTTTGTTAGTTTGGAATCAGGGTTTTTGCTCAATAACCAGTGGTTCACCGACATTGTTATATTCCCGGATTTTCTATTCTGTCAGTGTGATGGGGATGACATTAAGTAAGGTTTCCTAAGCAGAGACCTTTTGAGATATTTGATCACATGGATGCATTTCGTGATGTGTTAACTAATCCCAAACGAAGACATCTATCCCCGACCAAACTCAGGCTTTCGCAAGCCAAACCACTTGGGAATTTGTGAAAAAGGAAAAGATAAATGGTACCGTAGAGCAATAGCATGAACCCGTCAACTTGAGGACCATATGAATAATGTAGTAGATTCAATATCAAATAGACCTGATAATGCGCTAAAATGAAAACAGATCAACCAGTGATTATAACTTATTTTCGCTTCAGGTTTGGTAAAAGTATGATAAAAGCTTTTTTCATTCTTCTTGAACTAAGCTGGCATTGAGATTATGTACAAAATCGCAAATATGCGATTGGAAAACAGACTAGCACCAAGAATTGGTATATGCTGATGAAAATTGAGACATATCGTAAAAAAGGAAAGAAGTTAAGAACATGGAGCCTGCGTCAAGGACTAAAGCACTGACAAAATAATTTGAAAACGGTTTTTGAGCAGTGCGACAGAAGCGCATGTACGGTGTCCAATTACGGAAGACCAGATTTTTTCAAGATCAAATTGTAACACTGTTTCAAAAATGTAATCATTTAAAACGGTGCAGTCTATGTGAACATTAAAATTCCAACTTGCTCAGTCTCCTTTGAACTACCCTGAATTATTGAGAAATAATTGGTCCATATAAGTTCATTTTCTTTGTTTTACTGTTTGTTATTGAATCCACTTGTGAATCTTAAACTGAACAGATTCGTAAACGGGGATTAAGGCTTAGTGATCAAAGTCAAAGTCAAAGTTTTATGATGGGAAATACCTACAAGTGGTTGCTTTCCTAATCCCATAGAGTTTAGCACAGGTGAATCGACTCACGGTTTATAAAATGTAAACGAATGTCAAAATTTATCCTTGTTTCGTGCAATGCCACGGATGTTGGGATTTAAGATTTTTCAAAGCTTCATCCAGTTTTCCCTTGAAGGAATCAATTGTGGGAGAAGAAACAACATGTGGTGGTAGAGAATTCCAAGTAGTGCGTACTCTGAGGGCAAATGAG